GATGTGGTACTATCACAAGAACCAGGCCCATCTCCCCCCTCCGCGATTCCAAAAAATTTCAAGAGTCCATCTGGGAAATTGATCAACAAATCATTAGAAAAATTGAAAAGGAATTGTCCTTTATTTGCCGAAGAACAGTCTGAGTACATAAATGAAAGAAGGAAATGTCTGGATTTGTACAGTAAAGACTCACTTGGCCTAGCTAGTGGAAGAGAACTTGCACATGGCTTCAAGGTGATGAACACTAGCAATCTGCTAACCAGTTTGAGTAAAGCAGCCGTCTGCCGTCTCTGTAAGGACCCAAAAGGAACCTTGCAGCTATGGCAAGACAATTCTAAAAGAAGAGGTCTTCATGAGGTTTTATTCTGGAAATGTAGCAATTGTGACAAAGAAACAGATTCTTTCAGCACCAGCCCTTTCGTAAACAATGATAAAATGGATGTTTCAGAAATAAACATACGTCTTACGCAGGGAGGTGTGGAAAGTGGAAATGGATTGGCAGGTTTGTCAAAAATATGTTGTGCATTAGATGTCCCTCCACCAGTTACAACAAATGCCTTCAGTGCAATCCTGAAAAAAATCACCACATCATACCAGAAGGAAGCCCAAGAGTCTCTTTGTAAAGCAGCAAAAAATTTAAAAGACCTTATGCAAATAAACACTGACATTAATGATGAAGTTGTTTCTTCATATGTCCCTGTTAGTGTGTCAGTAGATGGTACATGGCAAAAACGTTATGGCTATAGTTCTTTGCTTGGTGTTGTGTTTATTTTATCAGTTGAGACTGGTGAAGTATTGGATTATGAAGTACAGTCCAAAATTTGTTTTGAGTGTAAATTTAGAGAGAAGTGGGAAAAAGAGTCAGAAAAGTACAAGAATTGGTATTCTAATCATGAAGAGCATTGTGAAGTTAACCACAAAGGCTCCTCAGAGGCAATGGAAAAAGAGGCTGCTGTAAAAATGTTTCTAAGATCAATGGAGAAACATCAGCTTGTATATACAACTTATGTTGGTGATGGTGATTCATCATCATTTGCCGAAGTTGCAGATGCCTGTTTCAAAAAATTTGGAGATGGATACTTGGTTTTGAAAGAGGATTGTATAGGGCATATCCAAAAGCGAATGGGCTCTAATTTGCGCAATTTTAAAAACAAAAACAAAGGTAGAAAGTTAGCAGATGGTGGAACGATTGGAGGACGTGGTAGACTAACTGATGCAATAATAGACTCACTGCAAAATTATTATGGTTATGCCATCCGAAATCACACTAATAATATTGAGGGGATGAAAAAAGCAATTTGGGCAATATTTTATCATTGCATTCAAGGTGAAAATGAGCCAGATGAGGTTCAACATCAGTTTTGTCCTGAAGGAGAGAATTCATGGTGTAGGTTCCAGAGAGACAGAGCTTCCCATACAGCAACCTATGATCAGAGAAAGTGCTTGCCATCAGTTTTCAGGAAGGAGTTAAAACCTATATTTGAAAGGCTATCTGGTGATGAACTCCTGAGCAGATGTCAAAAAGGTCTCACACAGAATCAAAATGAAGCCCTCAACAATGTCCTTTGGTCAAAATGCCCCAAACGAGTCTTCTGTGGTAAGCAGCGCTTGGAATGTTGTGTTGCGTCATCTGTTTTGCAATGGAATGCAGGAGCAGGCAGTGCTGGGAATGTGCTGAAAAGACTAGGTGTTTTGTCTTTGGGATCAAACACCATCAAAGGTTACAAATCTGCAAATGAGAAAAGGGTAAAGAAAGCGGAGGCCAAATGCAAAACAGATTATCAGAGAAGACGGCAAATTTTAAGGAAGATGAGAAAACAAAATACAAAAGCAGGAGCAGCTTATGCCTCTGGAGGTTTTTCTATCCATTAAGTGCCAGACAAAGACCTATGCAAAGTTGATGACAAGGATAACATGGATGTAGTGTTTATTGATGAAAAGAGCCTTGAAATGGTTTATGTTGAGAAATCAGCAAAAAGAAGAAAAATTCAATAACTAAAAAGACAATTCATATAACCTTATGTACAGGTACCTTTTGGAAATACTTTATTTCCTAATTATATAAGGGAATAATCTAAAACCAATTGGTCATGGACCATTAAGACCCAAATTTAACCTCTTTTGGTTAATTATTTTGAAGCATTGATGTCGAGTTTGTAAATATACGCAACCAGAACTTTAAAGCTCGTTTTCTCAAATGCGCATTTTAATACTTTAAGAAAGGATAAAAAAAGAAGCATGCAATATTATTCAATCAAATTTGGTAGGAGGAATTGTACTTATGGTGTCTTTGATATGAGTTGACAAAATTTTAATCTGTCTACTCTGTTGATAGTTATCCAAGAAAAATGGTTTTTCCAGTTTCCATAGCAACGGTTGCTATGACAATAATTTTCTCAACTCATTTCAATGCTTTCTTTATGTTTAGTAATTTGAAATAGATATTATCTTAATGTAAGCTTACACTTCTCTAAAATCGTTTCTCAAGCATTTTTTATGGTCCAGGTTTCCTGGTCTGTAAAATACACCATAACCACGTGATCATCTTATTGTTATGAAAAAATCGGCAGTAATTGCTATTGTTGTTTGTGTGAAAATTTGGTGTGATTTGAACAATAGACTTAAAAAATATTCAATGATTTTCAAAAACATAGCTAAAATCATCTTCAGGGTCGAGGACCACCTTAACTCTGCCATCTATCTTTGGGCTTATCTTAAAAAACGATCTAAACACAGATATTTTCAAAGAACGTCCAAATCTGACCTCACCAGCAAAGTATTTTAACAAAAATACCTTGAAAAATGCAAACGTTTAAATCGTATTGGCTATAAGCTTTTTCGTCTGACAGTCCTAAGCAGTAATGGCGCCACGGGAAGAGCTGGGGGGACATATCACCCCCCCCCCCACAGTTCTCGGCAGGATGAATTTTGTATTTCGCCTAAATTCGATGAGAAAATTTTGGGGGAGGGGTAATATTTTGGCAACGTACTTTTGTGATGTAATCCTATAATTTTAAATGTGCGTTTGCGTAACCAATCATTAGTCATGGGCGTTCTTTTTAAGTGCCTAGGCAAGCGGCACTGATTGGTCAACCTTGACAGTCATGTGCTCGTGTTTCTGATTGGCCTATTTCGATCCACAACTGGGTATATATATTTCTTAGCGTAGAGTTTTCGATCTATGTTCTGACGTTTTAAACTCTGAAGAGTGTCAGACGAAAAGCTTTAGTTTACTAAATGTTTGCTTTTTCAAAGCCATTTACAAGTTTTGTACCACCAAAAGATTGTTTGAATATATACTCAGTTGTAGATCGAAATAGGCCAATCAGAAAAACGCAAGTACAAGACCGGTATGGTTGTCCAATCGGTGCTGCGTACCTAAAGAAAAACTACCAACGGAGTCCAAAAAAGAAAACGAACTCTTTATGTCTACAGAATGGTGGTTTTTTCGTTTGTATGTAGATCGATTCCAAAACTGCTAGATGGAAAGACAACCAGGCTCTGCCAATTATCCGAAACATGTCGTCATACCTTAAAACTTAAAATACCTAAACCAAACAAAAATCAAATACCGTACCCAATCGTGTATTGTCAAAATTGGAAGATTAGGATTGTAAAGACGGGGGGGGGGCCTTTTGCTTTTGTCTTCTATTCAATATAAAATCACTCATAATACAACTATCTAGAAATGACTCCTAATACGATATTACATGTACATATAGTTAATTATAATGCTACATTATAATACTACATATATAGTATAATACTACATATACAGATGTAATATTTACTTAAGCCGGTTTCACATTTGACACCATTGGAAGATACGTAATAATGTTCAAGATATATAAATATCCAATTTTTGCAGACCAAACCAGTCAAACATAATGAAAGCCATATGCAGATTTAATCGCTGGCCCATTTTATTCCATAACTGGCTATTTTCATCACAGTTTCTCTTACCTTTCCGTTCTTGATCGTGTCAGGGAAGAAAACTCACTGTGTAAAAACTGATTCTTCAAAGTCGTAAGCAAATAGATACTTGATTCTACAGAAGTAATCGGAAGGCTTTGGAATTTATCTTGTTCCAAAGTTTATCTAATTCCATATGCTAGATCAAAACGACCTATAAGTTTGAATTGAGCCCTCATTCTTTCTGTGCATAGAATAACTCTTAAATAATTATTAAGAAAACACAACATGTAAATTCATTAAAAAATGAGAAAGAAAGTTCCAACCGCACTTCTATGTTTCTTTATAATGATAATTTTCTCGGAAATGAAGATGCTAACAAGATACAAGCTTGTGGTGTGAACTTTTTGCCTGGAAATCAGATAAATTGTTCTTGCACAGATAATAAAAATTCAAAACTCAATAAAGTTCAAGCCTGGCAATTATTCTTAATTTTTCACAAATTGTTAAGAAGCTATGTATTTTATCAGTAATGTCTCAAGATAACGAACGGCTTGTTCGAGATAGCGAATGCTCGAAATAGCTGGTAGTCGAGATAGCGAATATAAACTGTTTGTTCAAGAATATATTTTGATTCTTTTTTCTCCTGTTGCTGGGTCCCATCTCGATTTTAATTTTCGTCTTAAACATCACAAAAAGACACCCTGAGTTACAAATTTCACTGCAACTCTGAGGCGACGATAAGAGGGCATTGAATATGGGTAGTTGCCACAGGGATACAAGCGTCGAGGACACGTGTCAATAAGACTGGGAGAGTTGTTTAGAGGATCGAGAAAGATGGATAAGTTCATTCTGCTATTTTTTATTTTGCAGGTAATAGCTCTTTGCAATGTTATATTTGTTAGGTATTATCAATTATTGCTATTATATTTAAAGGTGATTGCAATTTCGATTCTTGGAACTCTGAAATTGATCAAGATTTTGATTCCACAATTTGGATCTGAGGACAAAGATGAGTTTTAATGAAACCCTGTAGAGGAACTGTTTGCTGTATGGTGTTGTTTCGTATAAAATAGAGAGATTAAAGAAAAGGAGCCAAATTTACGGGGGGAGGGGGGAGGGGGGTTTAGGAGGGAAAATAAATAACCGATTACTCTTCGCCTGAAACATTCTGTATAATTTAACGCTAACGTCAGTTTTCGATGCCATTTGTAGCCACCCCCTTTTCTCCCCCCTTGGGAAAAATGCTGGTTATCTCCTAAAATGACTTAGGAGATTAGAAAAAAGTAGGTCATTTGCCTGGAATAGCACATCAAAATTGTTCTTGGAGATAGGAGCGAAACACGGAGGAGAAGGTGGGGGTTTGGCTGGTTGTTTGGTGTTTTTAATCTTTGATAAAAGTGATAGGGAGGTGCCTGTCTATTAAAACGCCATACCTGAATACATGATATTTCCAACTAGCATACCTGTGCGAGAAAAATAGGGAGGAAAGGTATATCCTGTCCCAAAATTTTCAGCTGAAGATTGTATTGTATTGTATTGTATTGTAGATTATTTAATGTTAGTTTTTACAATTGTGAATATACACTAATTAAGACTAACACGAAGCAATTTCAAGGATTGCACAAGACAGTTCATTTACTGCAAAACGAGCATGCACACTTGTTTTCAAGGAACCAAGTTTTGATCAAATTTGACACCCTGTTGGCAGTGCACCATCCCTGGATACTCTGAGTAAACCCCTTCCTGTATAACTTGGGAAGGTGGTGAATAATCTCAATACTGGCTATTGAAGAAGTTAGTTTGAATTTGGTTCTATTTGATTACTGGCTTCCTGGCAAAGAATTAATCTACAACTATCAATGAAACTTTCTTATAAAATATTCTTAACCAATTTGTCTATCTAAAAATGCAACAAAGTCAAGGTAGACAAAAACAAAAGAAATAGGATTATGGTTGGAGATATTTTCATTTTTACAAAAAATGTATAACTCAAACTTATTGATGATCATCTTTGAAGAATTTCTTTAATCATTAGTTAACTGAAAGAAGGCTGGGAATTCATATGTCTTAAAAACTAAACATTTGTTCTTATTTTCAATCTTGAATCTTTGATTATTTTTTTGCTAAACACATCCTGCATGATTACTGTTTCATAAAATCCATGCACAGTTATTTTTTGCATAGCAATCAAACCATGTTTTTCACAATATGCAACAAACTTTTCTGATTTTCAACCCTAAAGGCTTTTGATAATTAGCATTGATTTATTTGCACAGCTGCCACCTGCTTCTTTGAATATACCTAACACAATCACAATTCCATTTGTAAAGCTGTTCTTTGTTATCAGCCAATCACAAATTTTTATCATCCAGTCTTATTTTCTGAAATTTTGAAGAATAGTTTCCTAAAAAGTGCTGTGAAGACAACAGTCTATAGCTATTCAGTTGCAAAAAATGACCTCCTTGCTTGGAAGTGGAAGGGTTGTGAAAAGTACAATTAATTGACTAAGGCACATGTAAAGATGGTAAAATTCTTATTTTGCTGCCTTTACAAAATTGTACTGATAAATGAACAGTTAGCTGTCAAATTTCCCGAACAAAGGGGGGGGGAGGGATTTATCACACCTCACCCCAAACATCATTAGATATGCATCTGTATTCAATAGGGAAAATTAACATAAGATTATTTCATTCCTCTATAGGAAGCCTGGGTGATGTTAATTGGTTCCTATATTTTGATTATGTTGAGAGTGTCATCGTATTTATGTCTGTTTTAACATGTAGAAAACATGAGCAAGATACAATGTTACTTGACATTTGCATAGTGATGCATTTACTGACTAACAAATTAACAAATACAGGCTGTATGCATATAAAATAAGGGGACACTAATTATCTTATTGTTGTGATAATGTCATTGTGGATACAATGACAATGTAAGGTTTTAAAATCAGAAATGCAGTGGAGGACATGATTACGGCTCAACATGGTCATTACATCTCAATCTTTGAAATTTTGCTTTTTTAATTTATGCACACATGTTTTTATAATTTTGATGCAGTGAATTGGCTTAATGATTAGATACTCTAGTTCACCTATTTTACTCCTGTCAAATCATAGAATTTTCTTTTTGTTAGGTTTATAGTTCATTTGCGAAATTGAACCTGAAAAGTATAACAGGGATCTATGAAGTGAAGACTTTTAAAAAGTTTGTGAAGACCCATAAGAATGTTTTAGTTATTTTCTCAAAAGATGGTAAGTTCTAGTTTTAGTAGAGGTGCTTAACGTTTAAATAAAATTGTATTCTATAGTTCTAAATCAAAGTCTTTCATAGTCAAGAGTATATGTCTCTAAATGCAGAAAAGTTTATTAGACTTTTCAAAGCTAACAATCACTGTATGATTTGGTCCTCTCTGGAATGATCTTTATCAGCATGCTAAAAGGATGACAAGATACCATTTTCATACTTCAGCATCTTTGTGAATTTTCCAAATCAAAAATAATATTAAGGTAGATTTAAAGTTTGTTCAAAAGCTAAAAGTCTAATTATTTGGTATTTTCGGACAATTCTGCTTATCACTCAAATGTTTAAAAGTATTTTCGTTTAAAATTTATGTTCATGTCAGAGTCTAAAACACTCAAAGTTTTTTCTAGTCAGTTTCTTAGACTTATTGAACTTATGTTAAGTGAATGTTGAAAATTGAAGACATTATTATAGGCCAGAATGATTGCATTTTTGTAAATTTGTTTTCTATTTGTATTTTGTAAACCATTTAAATCTTTCTCTCATTTCAAATTCTTCTCTGTCAACCCTGTCAATTGATTGTATTTTTATTGTAATTACTACAGGAAATTGAGATTAACCTTTTAATATTTAGCCTGTTTTATGTTTAGATAAATCTGCAATTGATGCAGTTAGATGGTGTGATGCTGTAGCGAAACAAATAAAGGGTCAAGGTGACATTGTTTATATAAATTGTGGGTTAGTAGCACTAGCTTTAACATTTTCTTCAATCTTCTTTACATTCTACACCACATGACTTCAGAACTAAAATAATGTTATTTATTATGCCCCTCTTTTTCAGTATTTCTAAGTATAGAACCTGTATATTTACTGTTTTGACACCCTTGCTTTGAAAAGTTGAAGCGAGTTGAGGAGGTTATTTCAGATGAAGACAGAATGAGTTTGTTTTTCTGTTGGACACTTTAACTAGGTGAAAAGTTAGTGTTTGCTGATTGGTAATAAACAAAAGAACCAGCGAAGGGTGTTTTTCCTCCTCTCACAATACATTCAAGCAACACCTGGATATAAATTTTCTACTTTCTTTTGGTCACTGTCCAACATATAAGAGTGTTCGACAAAAGGTACTTCAGTATGCTGTGTTTGGGCTATTTCATGCCATCTTGAAATTTTAATTCAGATTGTTGGATATCCCTCTCTGTATTATGTGTAGCAATTTGTTTTATGTTGACTCTGTTTTTATGTTTTGTTGTTTATACTCAAGAATTTCATATACTCAAGGAAGGCCTCTAGCCTGTGGCATCATTTTATGAATTTTTGGAAAAAAGGATTTTTAAGAATGGTGAAGCAATTGCCAAGGATTAATCCTGTTACAGATAATACATGTCTTTGACAAAAGGGTGAAATGTTTTATTCATATGTGTAATGAAATCAAATGGATTGTTTATTTTCTTTTAAACATTGTATATCGTGCTTGCAATTGCTTCTTTTAGGGAGGACAAAGAAAGTAAAAAGTTATGTAAGAAATACAAGACCAGTCCAAGCCCTTTAGTGTTGAAGCATTTCAAGTGAGTATTCACTCCATATGACATAAACATTTATAATATGATTTTTGTATATACCAGCCAAAAAAAGATGTCAAATAACACATATACATCAGCAAAATTTGCTTATCCTAGGAAATTTTTAGGTCTATTATGCATGAGTCAACAGAATTAATTGGCTGTCTTAACATATATGACAACCCTTTTTATCTGGCATCAACTTGTTTATGCCAACTAAAGCTAGCTGTAGATTAAAAACATTTCACCTACATATGAAATTTTTTATGGGTCGTGGTAACAGAGTGGTTAAGGAGCTTGACTGCCATGCCAGAGCTCCGGGTTTGATCCCAGCTCATGGATGGCTGTCAGTTCACTCAGCTGAAAATGAGTACCTTGTTGAAACGTACCAGGGAGGTAAAAAGTGGCAAAGAAAGGGGACTGGCCACCCTACCACACAATGCCTTGGCGCAAGACAATGCGCCCCTAACAGCACATTCCCAAACGTTCAATATCAACAACAGGACTAACCTTTACCCGTGAAAGTGTTTAGGTTGGTGATGCCCATTTGAGCTATGCTTTGGGCTAGCAAAGTTATTTTTATTACCTATAGATCAAACTCTTCCCTCTGTGTAATTGGCTTGCCTATAAGACATGATATAGTGCAAAGCTTTCAAAAAGTATGCTACTTCTATAAAACCTACATCACATCATTTGAAATTACGTCACATTACATATTGAGGGCATGAAATTAGGGCTCATGGTGTTTTGATATAAATTTCATAGATGCAAATTTGTTAGTCATGCATAAAGTTATGATTGACCAGGGCAAGATACGAAACTGAAAAATTATTGTTTTCTATTATGTAGCTTGAATGTATTATTTGTTCAATCTGTGCAACATATTTATTCTTTTAGGGATGGCAATTTTCATAAATTATATGATAGAAAGCATACTGCAAAGGTATCACTGCTATTTACAGGCTCAACAATGATTATTTAAGCATTTTAGATAAGCTATAATTTTTTCATTGTTTTGATACCATAAGATTCCAAATATAATCCCAAGGGGCTTACAACAGTCCAAATGCCGGGCCTATATTATGGGGGACTATATTCAGGGGGCTGTGATCAATATTCAGTTAATGTCAGAAAAAAATTAATTTTTCAAGCCTAAATGAAAAGATTCGTAATGTTCCTGAGACACTTGCTATTGAGCTGTAACTGTTGTGGAAAAATGAGAATATGTAAAGAATTACAGGAAAGATAGTTGATGAAGCTAGAAAGCCTCAATGAAGCCTGTAGACTCAAGGGAAAAAGCATTGAGATAACATGTGTATATAACGGTTAGGTAACAAGCATTACAAACTATATGTAAGAAATGCATTTAAAAAATTTAAGAATTGAATATCTGTCTACGTTATTTAAGGAGAAAAGATTGGAAAGGGTCTTGTCAAATGTTTTCCATTTAATGTTATTAAAAGTGTCCTATTACTTTTTTATTATAAAGTGTAAATTTTTAATGTCTTTTTTTAAAGTTGATAATTGAATGATCCAATTTTATTTATTTTTCATTCTGGTTTCAGTCTTTGCTAAATTTTATGAGAAACCCAACTGGTGATGTTCCATGGGATGAAGATGCAACTGCAAAAGATGTAGTCCACATAAATACTATTCCGGTAATGTATACCTTGTTTCTGTTGCCTAGGTAACATGGCAGCTCTTTCAGAAAATGAAAATTTTGCTCAGTATTTATGTCAAAATTTGAGCTGTTTTAGCATTTCTCTGAAAGGAAATTCTCATAAAATTCCTTATTGCTTGAAAAACTAATTCTTCTTTTTGTTTTTCATAGGAATTTATCAAGCTTAGAAGGAAAGAAAAAGGATCTTTGCTAGTTATGTTCTATGCCCCATGTAAGCCAATTTTTGAATTTCCTTTATCTTGTATAATATGGAACTTAAGGACTTGTTGTTGAGTAAAGAAGGCACCATGGATTGTCGACAGAGTATTAATTTCACTTCAGTGCAAGTAGTATGATATTCTACAGCCTTTTTAACATTCATTAACTTGGTAAAGTCACAAGTTTTCTAGACTCCTTTATCGATAAAAAGTTTTGTACTTATATCTTGGGATATCTTGAGACGTCTGTTGCCAATAGAAGTACGTTCTAGTTAATTACATATGCGTTGTAATAGTGAATTTTTGGACTTGTCCTTTGATTTTTTAAGCAACAGACTGTCAATATTTTCCCATGTTTGTTAGTTATTAGACATTGCTGTTTCCTGTTATGCAGAACTTTTACATCCTTCAAGGGTGTGGACACTGTAAACGACTAAAACCAGAATTTTCTGCAGCTGCAACAGAAGTCAAAGGGAGAGCGGTAATAAAATTTATCATGGATCTATCTGAATTATATTGTTAATCGCTGTCTATAATTTGGGAATTTGAAAATCTATAGTTCTCTATAACTATGAGAGAGATAAGCCGTTGCTGATTGGTCAAAAGCAATGGAAACAATTAAACGGGCCATTCCTTCTCTCTTTTTTTATCCTTTCTGGATGGAAATTTTTACTCACCTTTCAGGAATTATCCAGCGCTTTATACTCAGGGTAGTGTTCATATCAAAACATGTTGTAATATGTTTTGATATGGTTAGTTTTTTGTGGTATCATAGAATTGTGTGAATATTTCTTGTGTGTATAGACTGACTTTTAAAGAATATTAACTAAAGACTTTTATGTTTGCTTGTTAATGCCCTTCTGTTTTCATGAAATACTACAAATTAAATAGTTACCAGCTTGGCTGTTAGATACCAAGTCAATTTTTTGATGTATTATTTTGAAATTATTGATTAGTGCTCGTTACAACAAAAATAGTTCATTTCATAGAATAATAAGGATTATTTTGTTTTTTATCCGCAGACTCTTGCTAGTCTTGACTGTGACAAACCTGAACTATCTGATATTAAATATGAATTCAACATTACTGGCTACCCAACTTTAATATTTTTTGAGTAAGTGTTACTATCTTTTTTCTGATAGAATGAATTCATTTTCTTTTATTTAGCTATAAAATTTTTTAGCTATTTTGCCTAAGTAGCAATCATACTTTAAGTACCATAACGTCTACCAAAAGAGTGGTTAGTTCAAGGACTAACCCTCTAATTCTCCAAGATATCTCTGTCCTGCTTGGTAAAAAGTTCTTGTATGATTGTTCGAACTCGTCATTCATGTTTCCAATTTGAATTTTTTGCAATAGCAGTAAGGTGAGACAATATGTTGTAGTTTTTAGCATGCAGTATGTACACACTCATACAATATACCATACCCAAAAAGCATTTTTGCATAACTTAGGTCCAATTAATTTGTCGAGAAGAACTTATTGTATCACTGTTACTTATCTTAGAAATGGCCAACAAAAGTTTGATTATGGTGGAAAATATTCAAAAGATGGAATTGTCGAATGGCTTGAAGAGTATGTTGTTCTGATTATTGTATATAGTTTTCTGCTGTTTTTTTTACAAAACACTCAACTTTGCATCCAGGCACAGCTCGCTAATCCTTGTTCCATTTCCATTCCGCTCTCACATACGTTTTACCCAAGCGTAGCCTTCGTGCATAAGGCCTGTTGACGTTATATCATGTTCAAATTTGTTTCAGAGCGGTTTAGATTTCTTTTTTAATAATTAACCAAGAGGGCTATTAAAGCAAAGAACGATTTTTAAATCGAACACAAGAGTCGTGCAGTGCTTTGTTTAAGAACGCACTTTGTCACTTGCTCTCTGGCAACTGTTTGTCGCCTACTTTCTACGCTCGTGACCGTTAGAGGCAAATGGCCTTTAAGGATCTCGTGTGCCGGGGGCTCTATAAGTGTGTTCAATTTGCATTTTTTTCAGCAAGCACCAACCCCCATCTCCGTTTTATGAATCACTTTTTCAATCGATTTCTTCCTTCATTTTGGTACTTCCTCGTTGCATGATTGCTTGGCTATTCTTTCTTTGTCCATTTTGTGTAAATGAAATTCTTTCACATCCTCGCCACTTGATGTCCCTTTACTGCGCTTTCGCCCAACCTCTTAAAATAGATCTGTCATTTTCCAAGTACTTTTCAGGTATATAGTCCTATTTTTGTATAGCTCCTGATTTGATGTATCCTCTCCTATGCTACTAGCCAACGCTTAGATTTCACTCGATACTTTTCTGTGCTATGTTTCTGTGCTAAGTTTTTTCTTATCACGTCATCAAGCTAAAATTTTACTCAGTTCCACTTATGTAAACTGTATGTTCAATAGATGACAACAGTGTTTAAATATATTATATTCACGAAGCTTTAATTCCCGGTCAGTTCTATCCTTGTCAATCCAATGCTTTTAAATGTCCTAATGGTTTGTTTAAGAATCGATGTTGTTCGCAGTTTACTTCTGTCGAAGGCCTAATCAATCTTCCATCTTGATTTTAGTCCCCAACCTGCCAAAACTGAACCAGAAAGCGCCGAAGAAGAGTGGAAAGATGTCCCGAGTGACGTGGTTCACTTAAAAAGCGACACATTTGACACTGTTGTTTCAAATTCATCTTCTGTTTTGGTAATGTTTTACGCTCCATGTAAGTGAACCTGCTGTGGTCTTCATTTTCACTTCTGAATTTGACTTTTGTGAAATCCTATTTCGAATATCTGTCTCTGCAAAACGTGAAAGGCCATGATGTTTTGCGTTACTGTCGAGACCTATACGTTGAATTTATTATATTTGTCCATACAAATCAGCTTCTAGTATATTTTTGTCTTAGTGTTCTATTAGAATTACAATACGTGTAGCTCAATTGCGCAAAATATGTCTAGATCAAGGTGGACTGGGTGAATGTAGAATAATTTAGATATGCCACTTGGTGAGAAGGTGTTAAATGTAAGGCAGTGTAAATGAGAATAAAAAGTTCTACTGTTTTCTTTTAACCAGAAGAGACTCAGGCTCCTTTCACACTGTTCCGTATTCGTTTCGCTCCGTTTTCGTTGATTAAAATGCTGTCCGTTCACACTTATCCGTTTTCAAATGAATACGCTTTAACTATGGTAGGTGTTCACACTGCTCCAACAAAAATGTTGTTGGTGGCCTCACTTATGAACTGAAGCTTTCACGAATCTTCATCAAATTGGCATCATTATGAATGTAATTAAATAAAAGCAAATCACGAAAATCTTTGCTGTAACAGCTGCCAGTTCATTGTGAATTCTCAATTTCAAACTTTTTGAGATTAGGCGTGCTAGAATGCACCTATTTTGTTGCCGTTGTTAGCGTATTCAAATGTCTCTGTTTTCGGTGTTCACATTGGAAACGGAGCATATTCAATACGCACTGTATTCAAGAGTATCCGTTTTCATTTGCGTATTCATATGATTCCGTTTTCATAGCAGGGCAGTGTGAACGCAAGGCAAAAACGGATTAGTTTGACTCCGTTTTCATTTGAATACGGAGTAGTGTGAACGGGCCCTCAGAAAGTTATAATTCTATAATTAAATACCAACAAAGTAATTTACATTCATTTACGGCATGCTCTTTAAGCCTTCTTTCTATAGATAATTATAATGTTTACTTTTAGGGTGTAGTCATTGCAAAAAGATGAAACCGGAGTACATTGAAGCAGCTAAACGAATGAAGGACGAAAATGTAAGTAAAGTTGTTCCTTCTTGTTATTAAGAATCGGCATGCCAAATAACCAATGTTTTTAATGCATTGTCCCCTGATTTTTCTTTGAATTCCTACTTTTAATTTACATAATCGTGGATCAGTTTTAACAGAAATCTATATTTTGGTGTTGGACCCTGTTTATATTATAGGGGTAGATATCTGGTTGAGTTGAGTTGTTGCGCATGGCTATCTATACAAAATTATTGTAGTCTACAAGGCAAAGAAACATTTTTGCTGCCAACGTCAGTTTTATTCCTTTTTTTACGACCAATGACCGCGATAAAGATAATTTCATGAATGTCTCAATATGAACTTTTTGATGTTTTTTGTTGTCTGCTCATTGCATGGTGTCTGTTCATTGCATTTAGGTTGATGGAATCCTTGCAGCTGTTGACTGCACCAAAGAACAATCTCTAGGGAAAAAATACGATATTTCTGGCTTTCCGACAGGTAATTGAAAAATACCACTGTGCTTTCGAATCGATACCGGCTGATTACAACTTAGGTTTATGAGGACCTTAAAATTTCCATTTTCACTTGTTGAGCCTCGAGAATGATTTACCTATGTATGCTTAAAATGCGTATTGAATTTGTTTGTTTTGAATAATTTGCATAAAATTTCTTACTCTTATCTTTTATCGCTCAAAGTTAACTTTCTTACATATTTTTTATTCTCCTTTTAGTGAAATATTTTAGGTGAGTGGATTTTGTTTTTACGGTTTTTCATAAGTGATAGGAACTTTGCACAAATTATGGATTACTGAAGAAGTAAAAACTGGTACATTTATTCCAGTTAAAAATGACCTAAAGTCGTCAGCTGTAGAAACACTTTTTTAAACAGATTTTTAAACAAGCAGGTGTGTATTCTGAGAATATACATTATACATTTGCCAATTATAAGACTTCTAACTTTAGAGATTGAAGTTACGTCTGTGTATCAGTTGAACCTGGCGTGATGACTAGACTTCATGCACTCTTTCATCTCGTCCCTTTTTATCTGCTT